ACAACCATGCTCTTGTCTCCCTTGATGCACACAGATCCTTTAATAGTTGCTTGGGGTAAACTGACAAACAAATTGACTCATGGCGTTGGCTAAGCTCAGAAAAATGGCAACTTGTTTCCCCCAGGGACGAGGCTACTATAAACATATGGCCCAAGTTTACAATAGATGCCCTGAGCTCACCGCACGCAAGAAGCAGTAAAATTAAAGCACGTGTGTTTAAACTGCAAAGTACACATATTTGTGTAGCACATCAACATATTTGGTTCAAACAAGGGGAAAACAAGGGTGGTGGAACGCCTTGCCGCCGTGGAAGGCAAGCGAAACCCCAACACAAGAACATCGACCGACATCGCCCGTCCCCCACGCCTGCCACGTTCTCTCTCGCAGCCAATGATTCAGCAAAATGCATTTTATATGGGTTTTCGCAGGGCAGATTCCCAAAAAAAAGTATTTCGCCTAGGCGAAACAACCGTTTAGCATCCCCTCCTCAAACGTCGAAAAGTTTTCGGACCTGTTTGCGCGCAGATATGACATGATACGCTTGAGCGGGTGTGCCTATCATGTGCCAGCATGTGCGCACTTATGACACGATGCGCGTGAGCGTCAGTGCTTATAATGTGCCAGCATGTGTGCACTTACAACATGATACGCTGGAGCGGGCGTGCTTAACATTTGGCCAGCATGCGCGCAGATATAACATGACGCGCTTGAGCGGGTGTGCTTATCATGTGCCAGCATGTGTGCACTTATGACACGATGCGCGTGAGCGGGTGTGCTTATCATGTGCCAGCATGTGTGCACTTATGACACGATGCGCGTGAGCGTGTGCTTATCATGTGCCAGCATTGTGCACTTACAACATGCGCGTGAGCGGGTGTGCTTAACATTTGGCCAGCATGCGCGCAGATATAACATGATGCGCTTGAGCGGGTGTGCTTATCAAGTGCCAGCATGTGTGCACTTCTGACATGATGAGCGGGTGTGCTTATCATGTGCCAGCATGTGTGCACTTATGACGCGATGCGCGTGAGCGGGTGTGCTTATCATGTGCCAATGTGTGCACTTATGACACGATGCGCGTGAGCGGATGTGCTTATCATTTGCCAGCATGTGCGCACTTATGACACGATGCGCGCGAGCGGCTGTGCTTATCATCTGCCACATGTGTGCACTTATGACACGATGCGCGTGAGCGGCTGTGCTTATCATGTGCCAGCATTTGTGCACTTATGACACCATGCGCGTGAGCGGGTGTGCTTAACATTTGGCCAGCATGCGCGCAGATATGACGTGATACGCATGAGCGGGTGTGCCAAAAGTGAAGACAGTTGCACGGCGGCGAGGAGTCCCACCCTGCAAAAACAACAACAACATGCAGAGCTCCTTAGGTACACGTATTGTACACATCATTTACATGGGAAATTCCACGTCCCCTCGGTTTCCGCCTCGTGTCCATCGGCTTTCGCATTTCCGCATCCCTGTGCTCGCGGTGCTCGGACCCCGGGCTTTGCGGCATCGCCTCCGCGCGCGTTTTTTTTGGTTCCCGGCGGGGCAACCAAACATGCAACACATGGCTGTGGTTGTCAAAAATGGGGTAACCCCAAAATGGCTTGCCCAGGTAAATGGAAACATGGACGATTTCACCTGCGGCTTTTCTGGTGGTTAATTTGGACCCATACCCACATGGGCCCAGCCCAAGGACCTGGGGATTCCGAGTCCTCAAAATGGGGCGAGGCACCACAAAAGAACAAGAAGTTCGGAGGGTCTGCTGTCCACGAGACACAGGCGCCCAGGCGCCTGACATATCCCTGACACCTTTGGATTGACAATAATAATACATCATCATCATCATCATCATCATCATCATCATCATCATCATCATCATCATCATCATCATCATCATCATCATCATCATCATCCTCATCCTCATCCTCATCCTCATCCTCATCCTCATCATCCTCATCATCATCATCCTCATCAGCATGCCAGCAGGAAGCAGCCATCTCCGATTTGACATGGTTGGATACGGGAGTTGAGCTTGTCAACCCCCGTCAAATGACACAATGTGTCGCCTACGCCGGTTCAGGAAGGTTTGGCGACATATCATGCCGTAATATAGTCGTGTAGCCACTTAGAATGACCTCTGGTGCTTCTGGGGTAAAGGTTCTGGGTTTGGCAAGCTGCACAATGGATATTATCCATTTTGCACAATGGACATTATGCATTCTGCAGCTTGCCAAACCCATCGCCTTAGCCAATACTACATATGGAGGGTATCCTTTATGGGACCTGTTTTGCAGGAAAACCAAACGACAACCTGTTAGAATAATCCATAGGGTGTTTCCAGATAATAGGGGGAGCCTTTTGGATGGCGTTGAAGGCAAACACATGAGAAGCGGCAACTTTACGAGTGGCCAAATGTTTTAAGCAATGAAAGAGACTACCATGGCTCTTTGGGGTGAATCTATGACGCGGATGTTTGCTTTTGCGGGCATTCCCACCAAAAGGACAGCTGCAGCGAACCCACACAAATGCTACCCGTGAGATGATGTGTGGTGCCAAGGAACTCTCGTGTGGTGAACATTTGTGTCGTGCCAATGGCGTCTCAGCTACTTGCTGCTCTTGGCGTTCACATGCGTTGTGCCAAACTATCTAAGACAGCTGTAAAGGCTTGCGCCATGCAGGCTCCCATGCGCCTGCGTGTGCATGTGCATGTGCCCATGATGAATGGGAGCATGCCCAGGGTGATGCATCATCATCGGCCTGCGAGCGGGTTGGCAAGAAATCAAACGCGCATCGCGCGTTGGCTTAGCTTTTTTCTGCGCGGGTTGACTGGAACCTTCTGAAGTGAACACGCAGAATTGGGGCTGGTGAATAATCCAAGCGATTCTCGCCTGTTCATCGTGCAAAAGGTGGCAATGACATGATTCCCTTTTGGGCGTGAATCTCGCCAATTCTGTGGATTTTCCCTCGGCTCTCCCAGTGAGCCCCCACAGCGAAATGATGTGCAAACTGACCATGGGAACTGGTGTCGGGTCCCGGAGGAGACAGCCGAATACAAATTTCAAAGAAGAACTCGTTCCAAAAAGGAAATCCTCCAAATCAGCTTAACGTGATTGCATGGCGGGATGCGTCCATGTCAGAGACTTTTGGTGTTGCCGCGAACAAGATGGCAAAGAAAGATTCTGGCGCCAGGTGCCTTTTGTTGAAGGCCAGCAAGGCCATTGTGTTTGAAGCTCTCCGCTGGTTGAAAATGATGGCCCAACCGAAAGGTGTCTGGGGTTGAGTCTCAAAATGGGTCCTTTTGGAGCCCCAAAACGAGACCAACCTCTTTGGGCCAGAAATCTGGGTTGAAACGCAACCATGGAAAGATGGAAGGGACCAGGATATACGCCTTTCCTTTAGGAAACCAATGGCAGTTTGGGATGATGGCACACATTTGAATAACCATCGCCCCAGTTGTCCAATTTTTCTGGCAACCTTGCTGAAAGGCAAGTGCCAAAGCATTGGCAAGTGTTCACAAGTCCCGCATTAAACCTGTCTTGCAGTTTTAGTACATGGCCCTGACGGATTTCCCCCCACCCTACCCCCATTCGCTGCCCTAGTCTTGCTTCGCCCCACAGCACTCATCGCGTGGGCCCAGACGTGTCTCACGTGGCATGCTTCCATGTTTCTTTAAGGCGCCACATAAATGGAGTGGCCATGAACCAACAAAAAAGGGCGCCTCAGGGAAAACGAACACATGTAATCTCGGAAAGGGACCGATCCCATCTGCGAAGCTGTCCCGTGCCTGGGTGCGTAAGGCATCGGGGCTGGCCTCCGGAAGAGAGGATCGCCCAGGGCAGCAAAACGGGGTCTAAAAGGACTCCCCAAGGAGACGGTCCAATTCCAATGTTCGATGGGGTTTTGGCGGGTTGCCCGCAGCCCAGCAAAGCTTGAGCAACCAGTCTCCGCCAAAGTCCAAGAAAACAAACCCTGCGATACTTTGGGGACACGCCTCAATAAATACCTGCACATTTGAGAACAGCAACGCTAGGATTAGCTTGGATACAGGAAAGGTCAACACTGAGCTCTTTTTGGCAGCTTGGGACTCGATAGGCAGATTGGGACTCGAAAAAAACTTCCACATGGCTGAGATTGCTGTGGAGACCTCGTGTAGCGTGGATGCCGGTGTGGCCCACTAAACCACATTTCTTGGTATGACCTGGGGAGGACAGTAAGGCGCAAATATGTTTTGCGAATCAAAGGCGTCCAGCGTGTGGAGCGTCTTGTTCATTCGACGATCGCTCGGCAGGAATACGACAAAACTCCGCAAGCTTTGACATGATCACAATGTTTGCTGAGAGCAGTGGCATGATTGTTGGCTCTTCGAGTGGCTATATCATTCCGCGTCCACAGGTCAATTGGGTAATTAGAAATCACACCGTAGCTGTCAAGGAAAACATGCACATCATTGAAGCGGTGGAGGCCGCAGTAGCAAGTGTTGCAGAGGCGACTCTCAGAATCTCCCAAATTGTACATGTCTCGGTGCCAAATGAGGCTGGTGAGGTTGCTGCAAGAAGCACCGTCGCCAGTTCAGCCAGTGCCATGGGAAGGTGCGGCAATTGATGGTCCTTGGCTCAATCAATTGTCACTATTGGTGCAATGGCTCCTCTTGCTACGCCTCTAAAGCAGCATGTGACGCAGGTCAGCAACCAGCACAAGGACCATTGAGTCAGATGGAGTCAGCACGCTGCGGTCATTCATAACAGGAACCCCTGCTTGGATAGGATTGAAGCAGGGATCAAACAAAATCCAACTATCCGAGCAATGGGCTGCCTATATTGGGAAACAAGAATAAATGTGTATACATATATATATATATATGTTCACGGGTGCATTTGCAGGCACTGTCATGTTATACTTTTCGTTGTTTGCATGCACTGCCAGTCATTTGCAGGCAGTTCCAAGTGGACTTCTTGACGAAAACAACGCGCTGCTTTTTTTCGTTAGCCTTTTGCAGGACTCTTGCTGATTGTGTGCAGAATACTATGAAATCGGCCAGTTCTTGAACGTTCTCATTTCTGATGGGTTCATGTGATGTTGCTTGATTGCCGCAACCTGCCGTAAGGGCAGCTGATTGCTTGAAAGTTGGTTCGGGCAGGGGTTCATCATGACTTCCATAGCTATATTTGCCCCTCACACCCAAGGGAACCCTCTGTTTGACGAATCCCACATCACAACATGGTAGTAAACACGCCCAAGGGAACCCGCTGTTTGACGAATCTCACATCACAACATGGTAGTAAACACGCCCAAGGGAACCCGCTGTTTGACGAATCCCACATCACAACATGGTAGTAAACACGCCCAAGGGAACCCGCTGTTTGACGAATCCCACATCACAACATGGTAGTAAACACGCCCAAGGGAACCCGCTGTTTGACGAATCCCACATCACAACATGGTAGAAAACACGCCCACGGGAACCCTCTGTTTGATGAATACAACATGGCAGTAAACACGCCAAAAGGAACCCGCTGTTTGATGAATCAACATGGTAGTGAAAACGCCCAAGGGAACCCTCTGTTTGATGAATCCCACATCACAACATGGTAGTAAACACAATCAAGGGAACCCTCTGTTTGGTGCATCCCACGCATCACGACATGGTAGTAAACATGCCCAGGGGAACCCGCTGCTTGAAAACCCCACGGTAGTAAACACGCCAAAAGGAACCCGCTGTTTTATGAATCCCACCTAACAACATGGTAGAAAGCACGCCCAAGGGAACCCTCTGTTTGATGAATCCCGTCACAACATAGTAGTAAACACGCCCAAGGGAACCCGCTGTTTGATGAATCCCACATCACAACATGGTAGTAAACACGCCCAAGGAAACCCTTTGCTTGATGAATACACATCACAACATGGTAGTAAGCACTCCCAAGTGAACCTGCTGTTTGATGAATCCCACATCACAACATGGTAGTAAACACGCCCAAGGGAACATGGTAGTGAACACGCCCGGGGAACCCCCCTGTTTGATGAATCCCACATCACAACATGGTAGCAAACACGCCCAAGGGAACCCTCTGCTACAGGGTGGGTGGGCTGACTAAAAAGGTGTTTTGCTGAAGGTCAAAAAGCCAAGATTTGAGTTTCGCCTGCGCGAAACGGCGCCTGGTTCGGGATACATACATATATATATATATATCATGTATAGATTGCAAAGTCGGCTATGACTTCGGAGCGCCTCATGGTTCGTCCTCTGGACAGGACCTCATTCACAGCATGGGCAGGCAGCAAAAAACCGTGACGAACCTTCGCTAGTGGCTAGCCAGTGAGGATCGCTTGTTGAAAGGACCTGAACATGGGCCAACCCAAAGGGGAACTCAAGGCCAAAGCTGGTCGACTCGCACGAGAGGCAGGGACCACCCAGTTGCTGAAAGTCTGCGACCCACAGCTGACGCTTGACATCTCAGGCTTTGTCTCATAAACAAGGCCCTGATTTCTGGGGCGGCGTCATAAGGAAACCAAATGCAAACCACGCGTGGGAAACCTTGCGACACTTGGCAATGAGCCTTTTCCAAACTCGACCATGGTCCTGGCATGACTATTCGGACACTACGTATCTGCAGCAGCAGAGAGGCGTTTGTCGGCCGTTAAAACATCTCAACCCGGTGGGCCGCTTTTCAGTTTAAGTGCATTCCAATCTAGTGCTCGAATCAAGCCCAAAAGGAGGAATTGATTCCACTTAGTGCTTGCTATGCTGGCAGCGCTGTTTTCTACCTCAACAATTCAAATCTCCCCCAACCAACCATAAGACGTTGGAGCCTGCATATTCAGAACCCCAAACACGTAACCTACCCTTCAATGTAAGGATCCTTGAGCGGGTGGGCAAATCAATCGGCAGGATGCAGGGCACCGGGCAGTGAAAGCCAGAACCCGCGGACGCCCGCTGAGCCAGGCGACCCGAGAATCGGCCAAGGCCGCAAGGAGAGACGTCCAGGGGCAGTTGTCCGAAAGGCTGGTCGTGTTTTTGAGGGTTGGACCCTGGCGCCGCGGGTTTCGGAGAGGGGAGACCAAAATCGAGGCCCTAAGACTTTCGAGAATCCCCAGCTCTGAGACATCAATTGGCAAACCCACATCGAAAAAAATGTTTGGTTCAACTGGACGACAACAAATTTGTCTCCTGAAAGCAACTGATGTGCCAAGCAACCTGAAAGCGGCTTAGCGAGATGCGCCGCTGTGCTATTTTTCACTGCGGGGAACTGAGTGGCAAGCTCAATGATCGACAAAGCCACTGGAAAAGCCAGCTCCTATTGAAAGGAGGGCGATTCGCAACGTCCGCGACATCTGCAGCAATAGCAACGCATATCCACCAGAGATGAATGAAGAAACTTTGCCGCAATGCTACCTCATGCTACATCCAATATCACAATGTTGCATCATGAGCAGTTCTGAGGTCTCTCCTAGACTCTCACTGCCCCGCAAAAAAAGCACAGCTGGGGTGAGACAACTGAGCTGGTACCACGCCTACCTGAAAATTATGCTTGTGCACAGGTGAAACTTAAAGAAACTACTGCAAGTGGGGCGGTGTCTCCCCTGTGAACCTCTGGGACAGGGCCATTATGGAAAGTTGCAGCAGAGAACACACATACATCATTGTTCCAACTCTCTGCAGAAGTCGCCCGCTTTGTCTCACTCGTAAAACTCATCGCGGCGGTTCCTGCAGTCGGAAAGAAAGTTCATGCTGGAGACTGCACAATGTGCGATGTTAGGTTGAGTAAACCATGGATGACCAATCATATCGCCTCACCCCGCACGTCAGAAACCATGCTTGCCTTTCCGTCTCGAGCCAACCCAAAGAAGGTTCCCCAATTGGCGGTCACCCCAAGAAAACCGAGCCAAAGGAGTGGCCCCCCCTCACCCGGAAAAACTGGGTTTCTACATATTGAGGTGTGCCTCTTTTTACGGGAATCCCCAAAATGCTGGTTTTCCCTGTGGTTTCCTTTATTGAAGCCAACCAAAAGGGGGTTCCCCCAAAAAAGACCCACCCATATCGAGGTGTCCGACCCTTTACGCCGTGGATGACGGTGCAACTCCCATGGGGGTAAAGGAGATGGCTAAACCGAACTGGGCAGGGACTTGCGCCATCTTTCACCCAACTTTATTTTCCAATGGGGTCAAAGCACGTCGATCAGATCTCCTCGTGCGACTGCCTGGAGAGGCGGTTCGGATCCTGGCTGCAGTGTCGCGCCACCAAAAATGAGACGCCTTGGTTCTGGTGCAGAGGTATGTCCTTTTTTGAGGGTACACCTTTTTCGTGGTCTTGAAGGGAAGCCAAGAGGAGCACCAAAGCCATGTTGGGGGGTTCAAAACCCCAGGGGGGTCCAAAACCTTAAAAAGACGACCCATATCTTCTGCAAAATCAAGTCAAATCTAGATCCCAGTCTGTCCAAACGTCAGAGGTGGAGCTTTTGGAGTGGCGTTTTTGGCTTCTTTGGCCGCTCAAAGAGCACAAGCCATCTCTTGAAGCCTGGAAGCCGAGCAGGAAAAACCTTGCACATGGCTTGTCAAAGACTGTCGCGCAGTCCGCAATCAACCCCGAGCGGATAAATGGGGCCATGACCATTTCTTGGTGACATCTCCTTTTTCTTTGAACCAGGACGGCCTCCATCTGGTTGTGAGCCTCAAACCCCTTCTCCATTGGACCGCCGGCAGCATGCCAAAAAAGGAGTCGAGCAAAACTTGGCTTGATACACTGATCACCAAGAGTTGCCTTTTACCTGGATGCGGCACCCTTTTTCAAGCCACCTGTGGATAGACAAACTTCACTTCTGGCTAAAACCCTTGAACACTGGTGGATGACCCTTGCTATCCGGCCTGGGGTACTTCCATCTCCTCGTCGTCCCCGGCATCCCGGAACTGGCCGCTTTGGGTGTATCAAAACTCGTGAATGCAACCCCGGAACCCACAAACACTGGGGGCAAGTTCACTTGATCGATCAATATATGCCAGTACGCAGGTTAGTAGCAAGGCTGTTGCAGGCCCATGGTGCAATGGCAGCGCGCCCACATGTACAGCAATACCTAGCAGGGAGATTATGGGTTCGAGTCCCATTGGTTCTATGGTTTCTATGAGGTTTCCATGAGGTTTTTCGTTGAGGTCGTGAAATCCATGAGGATTTTGTTGAGGTCCGGGAATTTGGAGCAAAAACATTATTGACATACAGATCCCAAACGCCTCATACTCTATGTAACAAAGCCAGTCTTCCATTCTTCGGACAAGTCCCGGCAGCTCTGCTGCTGTAATCTGCAAAAGGCGTCGCTACCCAACTGGACCGCGCCTTTCTGCCGATGTTGGGCATGTCAGGATAGACCTGCGCATCCAAGACAAACAACCCTGAGTCAGACCATTGGGACGTCAGGATACTATGCCCTGCAGGTGTCTGCTCTTGGCGAGCTCAAAATATAATCAAACTTTGGCTGTATAATATAATCCTACTTTAATGCCAATACCACCAATATATACATATATATATATAGGTATATTTCCACGGTTTTTTTTGTTTTTTAAATCATTCCATTTACATTCAAATACGGAGCATCTAAACCCTTAACGTTCTGAAAAAACAACTCTCTGCACTATGGACTCAAAGGAAGAAAAAGCGGCTCCGATTTTTTGGCTTGCCAAGCTCCGCAAGGCCTATCCTCTCAACTACGCACCAGTCAACGCAAAACTCTGCTCACATCTGACGTTGCGCGATGGCTATCAACTGGGCATTGGCGGGACTCTGAGTGGTGGGAACCTGAATCAGTCGCTTCTCTTGTTAAATTATGATGTAAATGTCCACCCGAACATGTGCTGTTCATGTCGTGGTCATTGATCCTTGACTGGTTGGTAACAAGCGCCCAGAAAAAGAATCCGATTGACTGGCAGCGGGCGGGCTCAACCAAACTGCTTTTGTCGATCCAGTTGCGTCAGTGAGACAATCACAAGAACGTAGAAAAGTCTCTCTATGCGCGTTTATTGTTGCAGGGATAGGTCATTTTGAACCACAATATTTATCTGAGGTACTAGCAGCATAAGCAAGGTGAGGTCTTTCTTGGACTCACAACATGGACCACTGTGAGGTCACCAAGTCAAATTGGGGTCTGGTAAAATTGAAAAACGAACCAGGACCCATCTCCTTCTGACTTCTCTTTCCCAACCGTACGCTAAAGTAACCCACTTGGACTGAAAGCAAACAACATATGATCGGCTGACTAATGAATTTGTATTCTGCAATGCCAAAATTGGTTAAAACCGAAGCAAATCAAGGTGGATCATCATTTTGCAGCATTGGTGTTTTCTACGCCTCAAGCTCGCAAATCCCTTCAGCACAAGTGTGGTGCACGCCAAGCACACTTTGGCGGCTCCAGCTCGCAACACACAGCACTTCAGGAGGTTCCAGTTCAAAAATCCCACTTGATAGGCACAAGTATGTGAAGTGCGCTGCCGCAACGGCTGACTTCGCGAAACCATGCCAATCGTTACAGACTCGTTTTGGACTCGTTCTGGACTTGTTTAGCCGGCTGCTCGCGCAGCAGTAAGTGAGACTTGATCTCGCTTTATCTTGCTGTGACTGAGACTTGAGCTCGCTTTGTCTCTCTTTGTATGGTTGTCTACAACACGATCTTGTTCTGATCCGTTATTTCATTTTATCATATTACAGCGAAATCTCATTGTTTTAGGGTCTTCTAACCGCAATATATGCTACATATTCAATTGTCGGCCAGTTGGTCGGCCGCTCATATGAGGTTGATCAAAAGGTCCTCTACATTGGCTGACCATTAGGGAAACCACCAAACAATATAACTTTCACCACTTGCGAAAAGTTACCCATGGTCATTTTGGGGCTGAACGAGTTCCCTTTGCTATGGCCTGCAGCAGCAGCTCTTCCTCTGCGATGATGCGCTGGGCGCGCCAGACCTAAGTTCGAAAGCTCGCGACCTGCCTTGTGTGCCTGGCAAGTTTTGGAACCCCGTCGCACTGGGACTCCTTATATGGCCAATGGCTATGGTTCCCATAACGTGCGAATCAGTGACGGATCCTTACGGTAGCGCCACCAGGTGGATCCCTATTAACCCCTGGCACCTAACGGCTTGGGCAGCTTGCCTTCTGCTTCTTGCAGTCTGCTAGTTACTGTTGCCTTCCTTTGATTGATCTACTTGGCTGCTCCTTGGTTGCATGCGAGCTTTCATCTTTTTGCATACATGAGGTCTCTCAGACCCCCC